AAGACTGGAGTGGTTCTCCCTGTTTCATACTCTGTTTTGACAATGCAACCTTGGAGATATTTTTAACTAAGGGAATAATAACCCGTTTATTTGAGTTATTCTTCTGGAGGTTCTTAGAAAGAAGGAAATGAAACCAACCACATTATATATTAAAGGAAGAATTGGATCCCCAAAAATCAGAAGTCTTCCTATTTCCTCAGCATATCCCAGTGTAAAAATCTAGGGAATGTCTATCCAACAAATAAGTGGGAAACTTAAAAAATAAAGAGGGGGGAGGGCAGGGAGCTACCATTCTCACATTCCTTCGGCCTTGTTGGTAAAAACCTTTGGAATAAGGAAGTCTCTGGGGACCCAAGGTAAATTTATAATTGTTTTTTATTATTGTGCTTGGATGCCTTTGCAAACTGCCCTGGACATTTGGTTGAAGGACAGGATTGGATTCTGGGAGCTACGATCAAAACCTTTTACCACATCTTCAGATTTGTTTGGGTCCCACAACTCCCTCTATGTGAGCCCCTGAGCCTAGAGAAGAACAATTAATGGCACAACACAAGGGACAATACCACCACTGTGCACTTTTTGAGAAGAATTGAGTTGGATTATTGCACACCCACTCCTGTGTAATACCAGACTTGTGTAGCCTGCCAGCATAGTTCCTATTTTCTGAGTTTGCGCTCAAAGAAGAGTTTCTTTTAATGAGCTTTTATTTTCTTCTAAGAGCAATGAACGTTGTTGTGAATAGTCACGAAAATCACTTTTCAGCTGGGTTGGACACATTCCACCATCTGCAATACGGTGAGTGAAAGGGAAGTGGATGTTGCCTTGAGTCTTACAAATCACTTTATGCCATACCACTTTGCCTGTCCAGGAGATTCGATTTTATGCTGCAATCAGAATCAGAATAGAGCTGGGAGGGACCTTGGAGGTCTTGCTCAAGCAGGAGATGCTATACCAGTGATGGCGAACCATTGAGTGCCCAAACTGCGCACGCACGCATACTCAAACTGAAAGGTGTGTGTGCGTGCAGACATGCGCATGCACAGACATGCGCGCATGTGCAGCAGAGCCCTAAAGACCAGCTGGCCGACAGGAGGCGGGGCATAACTGGCAGCATGGCTAGAGGTAAGATCTTTTTCTTTCGTGAGCTTCTGTTTCGTCGTTTGCAGGGAAACAGAAGCCCACGAAAGAAACGCCACGGAGATCTGATCTGGGGCGATGGCGCGTGTGCCAGCAGAGATGGCTCTGCGTGCCACCTCTGGCATGCCTGCCATAGGTTCACCATCATGGTCCTATACCATTTCAGACAAGTGACGGTCCAGTATCTTCTTAAAAACCTCCAGCGATGAAGCACCTACAACTTCTGAAGTCCATGCGGTTCCACTGTTTAGTTGTCCTCACTGTTAGGAAGTTTCTCCTTAATTCCAGGTTGCTTCGCTCCTTGACTAGTTTCCATCCATTGTTTCTTGTCCTGCCCTCTGGCGCTTTGGAAAATAAATTGACCCCCTCTTCTTTGTGGCAGCCGCTCAAATACTTGAATACTGCTATCATGTGTCCCCCTCACAAGTCCTACCCATTTCTTCATCATTGTTTTTTTTTCATCAAAAGCTGCTTCAAAGGAGTGGGAAGAGCAGAGCACATAACATTTTATTAAAATTAGATATCAATTGAAGGTGTCTGGAGAATCTGGAGAATCAGACAACTTCATCAGAGCAGTTAAAACCCCCAGGGGTGGAGGGATTCCTAAGGGGAAATTAAGTTGGTAATTAAATCCTCTCCTTCAATTCAGACTGTCATCGTAAACCTGCTTATCAGGTAGTGAATTCCATTGAAATTTGAATAGGGATGTGATACATGCATAAATCGGGCTGTGATTGAGCTGTGAGGTGGGGCAATGCTTGCGTGTGCGTATGTGTGGCTTTTTTTAGGTACTTTTTTTATTTTTATTTTTTTTGCTGCTTGAAAAATATGTGGCTTCCCTGAGTCATCTAGTATTTCAGTTCTGAAATTTAGATGGATGCCCCATCTCTCGCCATCGTGTAACTGCATTTTGGGCACTCAGCAACTGGCTCACATTTACACAACCGTGTAAACCAGCGGTCACCAACCGGTGGTCCGTGGACCACAGGTGGTCCGTGAGAAAATTTTGGTGGTCTGCAGAAAAATTATTTGCATTTTTAATATTGCACTAAATCAGGGGTCCTCAAACTACAGCCCCTGGGACGGATATGTGCAATGAACGTTTGGGTTGCTGCAGAGAGTCTCCCCCTTCGGGGTCTTTTTGTGTGGGGAGGAGGAGGGCAGAAATTCCAACTTGGGGTCTGCTTTGGCCTCCTGGTGCAGAGCTTTGGACAAAGGCTGGAGGGAAGTGCCGCTGGTGGCAAAGAGCCGGAGGACCTTGTTCCAGTCAGACTGCATCATGGTCTGGAACTGGCTGACCATCTCAGCCCACTGAGCCTCCAGGCACCGGTACCTGGCCTTGCACTCCCACAGGTCTTCCCTCTACTTGGAAAGCCTATGCTCGTCGTCCTCAGTGAAGTGCTTCTGCTGAGCCTCCTTCTCAGTCAGATCCAATTTGAACTGAGCCAGCTATTTTGCCAACTCTTTCTCATGGTGGCTGCTTAGCTCCAACAACTGCTTCCTGTTGGGGCCCTAAGGAGCCCGGGCGGGGAGGAGTTGGCCACGCCCATCCAGTCACATGACCACCTAGCCACACCCACCCAGCTGGTCATTAGGAAGTTCATATTAGTGGTCTGCGGGATTTAAAATTATGAATTTAGTGGTCCCTGAGGTCTGAAAGGTTGGTGACCCCTAGTGTAAACAGTGATTGTTTTACACTTTTGGGCTAATGGACTAACCACCTTCTCCCTGTGCTTCCTGCTTTCTCTCTGCCCATTTTTTAATTCATATTACAGTATTGTACTTTTTATTATTTTCACTGCTTCATTTCTTTGTTACTGTTATGTTTACATTTTATTCCCCCCCCTCCTGTTTTATGGTTCTAAGCCATCCAGAGTAACCCCAAGATGAGATGGGTGGCAAATAAATTTAACAAATAATTAAATAAATTTACTTCCAGTTTTCAGGAAAACTGGCCTTTAATGAACAATTTAGTTCACTTAATGAACATTGTAAAAAAAAATGTCATAAAATCAGATCAGTCAGGTGGCAATTCACTTTATAACTTTCATGACTTATAGTCTTAATGGGCAGGCTCCATTACGGTCATAAATCTAGGACTACTTATATTAAATACTACTACTAACATATTACATTGATATAATAAAATCTTGATATTTTATTACTGTATTTTGAAAAAATTAACATTTTCTCATAGAGAGCTACTAATATTCAGATCTGGTTAGGAACTGTACCATATAATCAAATGCTGGATACTTAACTTGAACTTTTATCAACGGTGAGTTGATCTTGTTGCTTTAGCAATTTTTACCAAATTTCTAAAAGTTGTCCTTGGAGTAGAGCCTGCGGACTACAATCACCTCTGAAAAATTATTCCACTGTTAATTGTACATACAGAATGTGAGATTTTATGGAGACCAAACACTCTTCCTACATGGATAAAGTGGCTGATCCGGTCCCTGAAATTTTGAAGTTTAAGAACTCAAATAAACATGTCGCAAAAGGAGTTCCTGAAGACCTCCTTGGAGATTCAGGATCAAACATCTTTTAATTCTTCTTCTTCATTTATAATGCACCTAACAGGTACTCAGCGTGGTACACAACATCAAAAACAAGGCATCCTCCTCTCCCTGCTGGCTTACAGTTTAAAACTCCGTAAGACAAATGTGATGGGGAAGAAAGAGGGAAAAGGACAAGCTCGGACACCATGTTCTTATTGCAACCAGCTGGAAGAGGATCCCAAGAACAGCTGGATTCGTATACCTCTTGGGCTTCAGACTGTGGTGGGGTTCAGCTGGTTCTGGCCAGTTCAAGTGAACTGGTTGTTAAATTGCTGGCTGGCCCCTCCCCCACCTCTTCCAGGAATCCCCCCCCCCGTGCCCCATTTTTGCTCCCAGGAGGCTGCAGGGAGGCCTACTAGGCCCAAAGCGGGGCGTGGGGCGGGCAACGCACACCCCCCCGCAGCCCATTTTTGCTACCAGGGGGGGTGCAGGAGGCCAAGTGCTGCCCATCACACACCCTGGCCACACCCACCATGGCCACGCCCACCCACCATGTCATTAGGGCAGAGAACCGGTTGTTAAATTATTTGAATCCCACCACTGGCTTCAGACCAGAGAAGGAACAGCTAAAAAGAAAATTGGTACTCTTGAAACAAAATCTGAGCTCCAAGGGATAGCGAGGAGTAAGGTGGCTTGATGCATCCTCTTGTTCCTTGGCTCTCATTCATACCTGGCAGTTGACAACACAGAAGGGGCCCCACTGGATCAGATTAATCAGCCCTCTGAGACCCCCCAAAACCAAAATGTGTATGCTTCTGGACTAGATCAGGGCTATTTAGGCTGGAAGCTCATTAATGCTTCCATGTATCCCAGAGGTGGTATTCAGCAGGTTCTGACCAATTCTGGAGAAACAGTAGCGGAAATTTTGAGTAGTTCGGAGAGCCAGTAAATACCACCTCTGACTGGCCCCGCCCCCATCTATCCTCTGCCTCCCGAGTCCCAGCTGATCGGGAGGAAATGGGGATTTTGCAGTAACTTCCCCTGGAGTGGGGTGGGAATGGAGATTTTTCAGTATCCTTCCCCTGGAGTAGGGTGGGAATGGAGATTTTACAGTATCCTTCCTCTGGAGTGGGGTGGGAATGGAGATTTTACAGTATCCTTCCCCTGCCATGCCCACCAAGCCACGCCCACCAAGCCATACCATGCCCACCAAGCCACACCCACAGAACCGGTAGTAAAAAAGTTTGAATCCCACCACTGATGTACCCTCCTGTTCCAGTGAATTGCTTGTTAGGTATAAGGAAACCTTTTCATTTTGTGCTGAGAAGTTTTAACGATCCGGGCAAACAATCTCCAAGAGCTGGCTGTGAAATTTTATTATTCCTGGCATGGGAATTTTTTTTTTTTAAAAAATCAACTATTGCTATAGAAAAATGCATCAGAACTCTCTCTCCCTCCCTCTCTCTCTCTCTCTCTCTCTCTCTCTCTCTCTCACACACACACACACTGATCTAGTCACATCCCACATTTTACTTTCTTGCTCTTTAAAAATATTTCCCCGTTTCAGTTTGTTCAAAAGGAAAAAGGAGAAGAAATAAATCCAGATGCTTCCGCGACAAGATTCTGAAGGCAGGCTGATCTCCCAAAACTTATTTCTGTGCTGCATAGTTTCAGTTAAGTGAATGGGAACATAAATTTAGCATACTAGATTGACTCCATCTGTTGGGACCTCACAAAAGCATCACAACCATCCCATGAAATCTCACTTCAGATTCACTTCATGGTTTTTTTGTGCTTGAGACTCTAAGCTAGAACAGTTCCCTTTCACCAGAATATATGCATAGCCAGGATCACTTTATACATTCAAGCACAATCGATCTGTTGATTTTTTTTCCCCTCTGTAGCATTTAGGGAAGACATTAAAGACATGTTCCCATAGGAAAAGGAGAGCAAAACCCACCTCACAACTCTGTATATACAGATATCTAGCATCTTCTCCTAGAGGTCTCCATCCATCTTCTGTCCTGACAAGGCAGCCTAAAATTCTAGCTTTGATCCACTGAATGTTATCAACTCACTTCAGGGGTGGGCTTCAAAAATTTTAGCAAGGGGTTCTCTGCCTGGTTGCTGGGTGGGCATAGCCATGGTGGGCGTGGCCTAGTTGGCCTCCTGCACCACGGCGGGGGTAGTGGTGTTTTTGCCCTCCCCGGGCTCTGTAGGCTTTCCTCGAGCCTCTGGGAGGGTGAAAACGGCCTCCCCAGGCTCTGGAGGCCCTCTGGAGGCTGGAAACGTGCCCATTACTGGCCTTCCTGAACTTCCAGTAGGCCTGTTTTTCACCCTCCCAGAGCCTCCGTGCGTGCCCTGCACTTACCTGCATCCAAAACGGGCTGTGTGGGGACTCCTGGGAGGGGCAGGGCAGGGGGGGGGCAGCCAGGAGTGGGATTTGAGGGTTCTCTGAACTGCACAGAATCTTAGCTAGAGGTTCTCCCGAACCCCTGCGAACCCCCAGCAGCCCACCCAACTCACTTATCACTTAGGTGAAGATTGGACTTGGAGAATACACACTCATTGTCAAGAAAAATTGAGGTTGGCTAAAATCAGCCTAACGAAACATGATTGTTGAAATCAAGTTCTTTGCTTTCCTGGGAAAACAGTGTTGGCAACTGGTGATAATGGCTGCTACTGCTTTTTAAGAGCCAAAAAATGAAAGAATATTGATCCTATATTATCTTCTACAAACCAAGATGAAGACTAATCCCTCTGACGTCTTCAGAACCTCCATCCAGCAGAAGATTCACTTTCACTTACAGGACAATGGGAGCTGGACCTAAATTAACAGAGCAAGAAAATATGAAGGACATGACTGGTTCCAAGAATGATAGCAGTTGTGCTTCTCACCATCCTTTCCAACAAGCAGCTGGAAAGTTTATACATATTATTTCCACAACTGGTTGCCCTTAAAGGTTTTGCCTTCTATGAAGAAAAAAAATGGTGACCAGTAGACCACTGAAACGTGGACCACGGGAGCCACTCCATTCCTCAAGAGTCTGCAGAGTTCACTTCTTGCTGATTTATTCCTCTACTCGCTGCCTCTTCAAAGTCTTCTTTTTGGCATGTGAATGTCTACAGGGACAAATGTCACTGCACTGTTCCTGGCAGAGGTGCTACTGTCCTGTCCGAAAACTGAAGGGATGTTGGTCTTTGCATTCTTCGGCTCCAGCTCTCGTTTGGTTCTCATATGCCTACAAAGAACCAAGCAGACTTTGTGTTAGTGTGCTCATGGGTTGTGCAGGCAGAAAAGACAAACAGCTATGGCCTCTGAAAACTAAACATCCCTGTTGTAGGTAAGCTTTTGCAAATCGCGGTCCTGATGCACAGGCTACATTCTTCTGAGAAAGCATCCATTCAAGGAGAATATTCCTGAAATTATTTTCTTTTTAGAATAAATTTTGCAAGGTTTAAAATCAAATTAAATGAGACAAGGTAAGGGAGGGGGATTGTAGGACATTTTCTTTCGCTTACATGCATTCCAGAGGTGGGTTTCAGCAGGTTCTGACCAGTTTGAGAGAACCGGTAGCGGAAATTTTGAGTAGTTCGGAGAACCGGTAGTAAAAATTCTGACTGGCCCCGCCCCCATCTATTCTCTGCCTCCCAAGTCCCAGCTGATCAGGAGGAAATGGGGATTTTGCAGTAACCTTCCCCTGCCATGCCCACCAAGCCACACCCACTAAGCCATGCCACACCCACAGAACCAGTACTTTGACTTTGCTCATTGGAAGCCAGCTGGGAAGGTTGCAGATGGTGATCACGTGACCCCAGAATGCTGCAACCATTGCAAAGACACGACAGTGCCTGAATTTTGATCACGTGACTGTGGGGATCCTGTGAGGACCAGACGTAAGTCACTTTTTATAGTACCATTGTAACTTTGAATGGTCATTAAATGAATGATTGCGCATTGAGGACTACCTGTACAGTATATACAGCCGTGATGGCGAACCTATGGCACGTGTGCCAGAGGTGGCACGCAGCACCCTCTCTGTGGGCACACGAGCCATCACCCCAGTTCAGCTCCGCTGCACATGCGTGTGTGCCTCCCTCCAGGCAGCTGGTCTTTAGGTCTCTGCTGTGCATGCATGGAGGGGTGGGGCGCATGCGTGGGGGGTGCGTGCACATGTGTGTGGGGTGGGGCCGTGTGCGTGGGCCCTGCAGGGCATGCGTGGGGAGTGAGGCGTATGCATGGGGACCGCAGGCGCATTGCATTTTGGGGGTTCGGGTGCGCCCGTGGCTTAGGAGCTGGGTACTTACGGGACCGCCTGCTGCCTCCAGTAGCCTCTCACTATGGAGGATCTCGGATTTACGCACCTTCCGCCGTGCCCTCAGGACCTTTTTATTCCAACAGGCTGGCCTGGCCTAACCTCCCTTTTTAATTGTAAATTTTAAATTTGTCTAAAATTTTAGCGTTGTTTTAATCTGTTCTGGGCCAAATTTATTTAATTAGGTTTTTATACTGTTTTTAAATTTTGTAATTCTGTGTGTTTTATCTCTTGGCTGTTCACCACCCTGAGTCCCTCTGGAGTAGGGCGGTATATAAATCAAATAAATAAATAAATAAATAAATAAATAAATAAATAAATAAATAAATAAATAAATACATACATACATACATACATACATACATACATACATACATACATAAAATGTGTGCACGCTTTGGACACTTGGTCCAGAAAAGGTTAGCCATCACTGGTATACAGTGAATGCTCAGGAGGTCCTGACATGGCTACTTTAATTTATTAGTTTCTTTAGCTTCTGCCAACCTAGCAGTTTGAAAACCCGTAAAAAATGCAAGTAGAAAAATAGGGACCACCTTTGGTGGGAAGGTAGCAGTATTCCGTGTGCCTTTGGCATTGAGTCATGCCAGCCACATGACCACAGAATTGTCATCAGACAGCGCCAGCTCTTTGGCTTAGAAACGGAGATGAGCACCACCCCCTAGAGTCGGGAACGATTAGCACATATGTACCAGGGGAACCTTTACCTTTACCTTTTACAATATTAAAAACAGATTATAAAAAAGAACTTGGGATGGAGTACAATATTAGAAACAGACTATATGCAGCAATTAACAAAATGTCAGGGTTTGATTAATTGTCAGAGATTAATTGTTGCTAGAAGTGCTCATGGTTTATTTAATCAATCAATTGGATTTATTTACAGGGCTTTTAGGCTGAACAACAGAAATTTTGGGCTCAGTTGTGGTTGTAAGTTGAGGATGATCTCCATTTGTGTTTTTGATAAACAAAAATGGCATGCGAGCTTGCAACCTCTCACAAAAGGAAAACAGCAGAGACCCTGAATGTAAAAATGTGAGGACAGCAGAATTTATGAGGTAAAAAAAACCCCACGGAACACACAACCAGAGTAGCAGCTTTCCTCAGACACAATGGCATCAAAATAAGTACATCCACCTCATGATCTCATTTATTCAATGATGTCATTATATATGTGATGCAGGGGTGAAATGCTCTGAAGTCTACCGGTTCGCTTCGCTACTGGTTTGCTGCGTGCACGCATGCACGGTATGCACCAAACATGCGCTTTGCGTGCATGCGCACCACATGCGCTACCGTGCAACCCTAAAAAAGGAGGATTAAGAAGCCTTTTCTGAATCTTCAGAGGTAAGTAGAACAGCAAGGGGAGGGGGGAACAGCTGTGCCCCGCGATTTAGATTCGAAAGTAGGATATAAATCGCGCCGCACAGCTGATCTTCGGAAATGCTGCTTCACTCAAACTGGTAGCATTTATTACTATTGATTTGGGCGAACCGGTCAGAACCGGTAGCATTTCACCCCTGATGTGATGTCACTACTCCCTCTCGCACCTCAGAAACGGAGTGATTGCATCCAGTTAGTAGATTGATCTCCTGAAGAATGAAAGGAACTGGAGAGAGAGAAAAAAAATCAAATGACTAACCTGTTATACGTTTTAAGGATGAGCAGAACTGTTGTAAATATTACTATGACGCCCACGACAATAGCTGCTACTATTGCTCCAGAGCCTAACAAGGAGAAAGAAAGAAAAACAGGCTTTTAAATACACTTTAATTGCCAGTTTATAATAAAATAAAGCTCCCATGTTCTAGGATACGTACAAAAATATCCCAAAATTTTATCTTATTTTTAGCTGTTTTCTTAGAAACATTAGTATTATTTGTTATAGGTTTAATTCACCCTTAAGAGTCAAGTAGTCCTCAATTTATGACCATTCATTTAATTAGTGTAATTAAGGCAGTGATGGCCTTATAGGTTTTTTGGGGGGGGGCAGGGTCTGGGTGAGAATGTCCTTGTGTCCCCCATGGAAGACCTCCTTTTACAACTTTTTAGTAATTTTATTTATTTGTGCCTTTTGAGTCAATGTCCATTCATGGCAACTGCCAGACTAGTTCCTGCAAATATTTGGCAATATTTTGGAGGTACCGTGTTTTCCCAAAAATAAGACCCTGTCTTATATTTTTTTGAACCCCAAAATAAGTGCTTGGCCTTATTTTCGGGAATGTCTTACTATTTTGGGGCGCATGGAGCAGGACGGGGCTCCTCTTGCCGTCTTACCTGATTTCCAGCTCTGTCTCCCTAACCCTAACCAGAGGAACCGGCTGTGCATGTGTTTACATATTTTTAGGGAGGACTTATTTTCCGGGGGGGGGCTTATTTTAGCACATGCACTCAAAAGCCCGATTGGGCTTATTATCAGGGGATGTCTTATTTTAGGGGAAACAGGGTAGTTTGCCATTGCTTCCTTCTTAGGACCTAGAGCAGGGGTCAGCAACCTGCGGCTCTGGAGCTGCATGTGGCTCTTTTATCCCTCTGCTGCAGCTCCCTGTCGCAGATCGGCTTTCGGTTAGGACAGGTAGAGGAAAAAGGACCCTGCGCTAGGAGGAGACTCTATGGTGGGGAAACCGGACTTCCGGTCGGCTTCAGAATTGATTGGGGGGCTTCCGGTTAGGACCTTTGTGGCTCTTTGAGTGTTTAAGGTTGCTGTCCCCTGGCCTAGAGAGGGGAATTGGCTCAAGGTCACCCAGCTGGCTTTGTGCCTAAGACAGGACTAGAATTTTCGGTCTCCAGGTTTGTAGCCTTAACCACTACACCAAAGTGTCTTTTTCTTGATAAATCAGTAACTTATCAGTTCAGACATCAGTGGTGGGTTGCTACCGAATTGGGCAAACCTGTGGCGGTGGCGGGAGGCTCCGCCTACTCTCCCGTGCGCACGAGCGAATCAGTAGCAAACTAAATTGAAACCCGCTACTGTCGGACATATCTGATTTTGTTTTCTTAATGCATGGTCTAATGTCAATTCAGAGACTGTGTATTATGAAACTGTCCTTTGAGTGTTTTGTTATGGATTGAGAAAACATATCATAAAATGAAAGCAAACAAAAAGGGTTAAATTTTATTCTTCATTCTATCTCTTCATTCCATCTTTATATACCACCATCTGATACCATAAACTAAAACTTACGGATATAGTTTACTGAAATGAAACCTTTAACTCCTTTAGGATTAAAAATATGTTATAACTCCCACCAATACTCCCCTCAACACTGACAGGGCAAGCCACCTGTATATATAAACAGAGAGTAAACCCAACTCTCTTCTAGCACTGATGATGTTACTAAGCTGGGTAATGAAACATCTGTAAGAAAACAGCCAAGCTCAGAGAGCACCAAGGACCCCACATACGTATTTCCAATTCAGTTCCCAGTTGAAAGAATTTCTAATCCAGATCCCGTCACCTCTGCAGCAACTGGGACCTTGTCAGAGCAAATCCAGAGCTGTTTCATTCAGATCCTGAAGATGTTTCTTTTCGCCCATTCACACATTGGTGGTGAAAAGCCCATAAAATCACCCAGCACCACCTCTGCCCTTCCTTACTCTGATAAAGGATTTGCTCTCGAGACTTCGTGGTCACATTCTTCCAAGGCAGGGAATATTCAGACGTTGGGGCAGCTGTAGTCATCTTGATTCCAACTAGGCGGAAAAATGAAAAAAAAAAAAAAAGCATTAGAATGGTGCAAAGGCAACCAGTAGGAGAATCGTAAGAGAGGCACCAACATCACCAGCCTGGATAGCTCTGCAGACTAAGCACTATAATTTAAGACCAGCTGTCTGCAATTAAAGTAAGTTCGAATCTCACCAGGCTCAAGGTTGACTCAGCCTTCCATCCTTTCTAAGGTAGGTAAATTGAGGACCCAGTTTGTGGGGGCAATAAGCTGACTTTGTATAAATATACAAAAGTATGAAGGCTAATGCTTAACGCATTGTAAGCCGCCCTGAGTCTCTGGAGACGGGTGGCATATAAATCAATTTTTAAAAAAAAAAAAAAAATCAGGCAGAATAGAATAGAATGGAATGGAATGGAATAGAATAACAGAGTTGGAAGGGACCTTGGAGGTCTTCTAGTCCAACCCCCTGCTTAGGCAGGAAACCCTACAGCAGTGGTGAAATTCAAATTTTTTTACTACCAGTTCTGTGGGTGTGGCTTGGTGGGTGTGGTGTGGATGGTGGGCGTGGCTTGGGCATGGCAGGGGAAGGATATTGCAAAATCCCCATTCCCACCCCACTCCAGGGGGAAGGATATTGCAAAATCCCCATTCCCACCCCACTCATGGGGAAATGATATTGAAAAATCTCCATTCCCACCCCACTCTGGGGCCAGCCAGAGGTGGTATTTGCCGGTTCTCCGAACTGCTCAAAATTTCCGCTACCGGTTCTCCAGAACCTGTCAGAACCTGCTGGATTTCACCCCTGATGTGATGGTTAAGCAAGGGATCATATGACCAGACCCAATTTTGCCAACATTTTTACTGTAGTCTTTAAGTGACTCACACCATTTTGCAATATCCTTCCCCCAGGAGTGAGGAGGGAATGGGGATTTTGCAGTATCCCTCCCCTGCCACGCCAACCAAGCCACACCATGCCCATCAAGCCACGGCCACAGAACCAGTAGTAAAAAAAAATTGGTTTTCATCCCTGGATAAGTGTTCATGATATTGATAATAAACAGCAAGTGCTTTTTCAAACATAGTTGTCTTAAAAACAACTTTATTGTCTATTTCCAGCCTCTGTGTTCGGTTGCAGATGTAATTGCAGGAAATTCACCCTGATTAGCAAATGTTTTCAAATTTTCTATCTTGAATAGACAGGATGGGTCTTTTTTTAAAACTTGGAAATAAAAACAGAGATCGTCTGGCATCTGTTCCCATGGCAGAAGAAATGGTTCGAAAAATCACAGCTGGCTGTAAAAAGGCTGTGGGGAATGGAGCCCAGCACCTTCTACGGTAATACTGAAACTTATAACTCAGTTCTACAAGGGAACTTTTCTAAATGCAATTTCAGTAGCACAAGTAAAAAACTAACAAGGGAACTTGAGCTCACTGCTGGCAACATGCCTCCCCCACCCCCCACCCACCCCCCACTGCCCCTTGCCCCATTGGTGTCTCTTGAGAGTTTTGCCCCAAGCTTTCAAGGCTTTGAATTGCAAAGTTGTTTGCACTGTGTACCACGTAGTCTCAGAGTTTCCAGCCAAAACGGGCAGCAGCAAACATGAAAATAACTCTGGATCTGAACCTATAACGGCTGTCATTCTCCTCCAAGTGAATAGTGCCTTTGTGGACCCAAGGATGACCTACTTTTGTAACCCAATCATCTAGTGTGGTCAGGGATCCTCTTTTTCCAACTTCTCCTTTTTTTGAAAGAATCTTGTTCCAAAGTTCTCCTTTTGCAGCTCATCCAGCCCCCTCCCCTCCCCTTTCCCCCCCTCCCTCCTTCCCTCTCTGTCTCTCAGCTGGCTATCAATTTCTAATGCAGGATCCTTTCACCATCCTAGGCATCAAATCCATGTTTCCTAAAGGCTACCATGGAACATCTTCTCACTGCTGTTTCATGAGGCTTTGAAGGGTACAAAATGGGAGTGGAGCGGGTGGGTTGTCCCTCTTTTAGGGAGGGTGGCAGCAAGGCTGAATCAATATTATCTTAAAGCAGCAGGGGTTAAGGGCCAACTGACACACAAGTTAGAAGACATTTGCATTTTTGGAAGACCGTTTGCCTCTGGCTGTTCCTTTCAGCAGGGAGAGATTTTGCTAGCTACTATTTTGTCACCGGTGGTCCAAAAAACCCTCTTCTCAATATTCTGCCCTTCGAACTGCAACAAAGATTTACAGATTTACAGAGTTAGAAGAGACCTTGTAGGTCATCTAGTCCAACCCCCCGCCTAAGCAGGAGATCCTGCACCATTTCTGACAAATGGCAGTCCAATCTCTTCTTGAAAGTCTCAAGGGTTGAAGCCCCCACAACTTCCGAAGGCAACTTCTGTTCCATGGGTTGATTGTTCTCACTGTCAGAAAGTTCCTCCTTATTTCTAGGTTGAATCTCTCCTTGGTCAGTTTCCATCCATTATTCCTTGTCTGGCCTTCAGGTGATTTGGAGCATAGGTTGACCCCCCCCCTCTCTGTGAAAGCCCCTCAGATATTGGAAGACGGCTATCATGTCTCCCCTGGTCCTTCTCTTCACCAGACTAGCCATGCCCAGTTCCTGCAGACGTTCTTCATACGTTTTAGCCTCTAGTCCCCTAATCATCTTTGTTGATCTTCTCTGCACTCTGGAACAACTCTCAACAACTTTTTTATAGTGTGGTGACCAAAACTGGATGCAATATTCTAGGTGTGGTCTTACACCTTTATTAGTTACATTTATTTATTTATTGGTAGTCTTAGATAGATTCAGATTAACAGAGTTGGAAGGGACCTTATAGGTCATCTAGACCAGTGGTCCCCAACCTTTTTATCGCCGCGGCCCGCTGAGCGCGCGCAGGGGTGGGGCCACGGCCCAGGAGCCTTTGCGCAGGCTCATTGCGCACGGCCCAGGAGCCTTTGCGCAGGCCCATTGCGCACGGCCCAGGAGCCTTTGCGCAGGCCCATTGCGCACGGCCCAGGAGCCTTTGCGCTGCAGCGTTCCTGTCCCCCGGCCGCTGCGCGGCCCGGTGCCGGGTACTCCACGGCCCGGCACCGGTCTGCGGACCGGGGGTTGGGGACCACTGATCTAGACCAACCTGCCTCCCAAGCAGACTCTACACCATTTCTGACAGATGGCAGTCTCTTCTTGAAGGCTTCCAGTGATGAAGCTCCCACAACCTCCGAAGGCAACTTCTGTTCCACTGGTTGATTGTTCTCACTGTCAGGAAATTTATCCTTACTTCTAGGTTGAATCTCTCCTTGATCAGCTTCCATCCATTATTCCATGCCTTTGGGTGCCTTGGAAAAGAGCTTGACCCCCCCCCTCTCTGTGGCAGCCCCTCAAATATTGGAACACTGCTATCCTGTCTCCCCTGGTCCTTCTCTTCACTAGACGAGCCATACCGAATACTTGCAACTGTTCATTGCATGTTTTAGCCTCCACTCAAGATAAATAGCAAAGAAGCAAAAATTCAATATAACTTGGTCTAAAGCAGGATTTCTCAATCTTGGCAACTATAAGCCAGTGTGGACTTCTGTTCCCAGAATTTCCTAGGATTGTTGGCTGAAGAATCCTGGCAGTTGAACTCCACACAGCTTCAAGTTGCCAAATCAGGCGTGACTCACTTAATAAGCGCCTTACTTAGCAATGGACATTCTGATCCCAAATATGGTTGTAAGTCAAGGACCAGTAGTGGGTTTCATTTACTTTCGCTACTGGTTTGGAACTGTGAGCTTGCGCATGTGTGTGCTTGATTCGCTCGCTCGTGGCACTTCCACGCATGCACAGAACCTTCTGCACATGTGCAGAGCGTCTGTGATGACGTCCGGGTGGTTGGGTGCCTCTGCTACCAGTTCACCCAAACCGGGGCGAACCGGTAGAAACCCACCACTGTCAAGGACCATCTCTACCCTGGAACAATCCTGTTTCGGAGTAGCAGTTTCCCAACTATGTTTCTGCGGCCAAATTAATGTTGCAGGGAGAAGAGGAAGAAGTCCAATCCCTGTTTTCTGAGAGAAAGAGAGAGAGAGCTGGAAGCCGTGGCACCCACCAGCTGCAGTCCGTCCTTCCTCGCCCTGAATATAAAAGCTCTTTCTTTTCCTCTCGAGGCACACCTGCATTTCAATCTTGCACCTTTATTTTCGATCGGGAAGGGTGGGCAAACAAAGCTTTCATTCAATTTGCTGGCAGCTGCGTCAGCCAATCTAAAGGCAACAGAGGAGCCGTTTCTCTCTGGAGAGGTGCTGACTTGATCCTTGCTTTCAACAGGATTCTGCTTCTGCGCCGACTTTGCAAAGCCAGGAAGAGAGTTACCAAAACACGTACAGGAAGTCTTCCACTCCCCACAGTTCACTTAGCAACCATTCAAAGTTATAGTGGCACTGAGTTCTGACCATTTTTTCACACTTATGACCATTTTGCAACATGTCCATGGTCACGTGATCAAAATTCACTTAGCGACCACTCAAAGTTATAGCGGCACTGAAAAAAGTGAGTTTTGACTGTTTTTCACACTTACAACATGTCCATGATCATGTCATGTGATCAAAATTCAGATGCTTGGCAACTGGTTCATACTTATGATCAGTGGTGGGATTCAAAAAATTTTATTACTGGTTCTGTGGCTTGGTGGTGGTGGCTTGGTAGTGTGGCAGGAATAGTATTTAGCTGCCAGCTGCCTGCAATTATTGCGAATTCAATTCTCACCAGGCTCAAGGTTGACTCAGCCTTCCATCCTTCCGAGGTAGGTAAAATGAAGACCCGGATTGTGGGGGCAATAAGCTGACTTTGTATAAAAAAGAACACCGCTTGGGGGGGCCTGAAAGCCCTACTAAGCAGGTATATACAAAAGTATGAAGGCTATTGCTTAATGCATTGTAAGCCGCCCTGAGTCTCTGGAGAAGGGCGGCATATAAATCAAACTAATAAATAAATAAATAAATAAATAAGGATACTGTAAAATCTCCATTCCTATCTCACTCCAGGGGAAGGTTACTGCAAAATCCCCATTTCCTCCT